AAATAAAAAAAATTAGAAATTAATAAAAAGACTATCAAATTCATAAATTTATAAGTAACAGGTTGGGAGTTTTAGATAAAAATAATTTTTAGAAAAATAAGAAGATATTTTAAAAATATAAAATTAATTTTACTCCATCTTCAACTTTCACATTAAAAAAAAGATGATTTTAATATATGTATTAAACAAACACTAGACTTTAAGCACCATATCTAATGGTTTACAATGCAAAGCAAAATAAATACATAAATAACAGCTTATTTTTTAATCACTAAGGTAAATATTCATCATTCTAAGGAAGAATTAGAGGGAAAAAAAAAAGGCAAAACGAAAAGAGAAGAATATAGCTGAAGGGATGAAAAATAAAATCTGTACTAACCTTGGTACCTGACCATTTTGGTCGCCGTGGTGTACCAACATTAGTATCTGAAGAATTTGGACATTGGGGGAATTCATTGTGGGCAGTAGAGATTAGACCAGACGAGTGCAGCTTATGCTGGCGCTGCCGCTGCTGCTTCTGTCGTTGCTACTTCTGCCGCTGCTGCTTTTATGGTAGGATGGTATTACGGTTGTCGGGTAGCTGTAGATCTCCCGAAGGTCAAGGACCCAAGGTAGTGCTCTTGGGTCCACCCGCTCTTGGGTCCACCCGCTATTGGGTCCACCCGCTATTGGGTCCACCCGCTCTTGGGTCCACCCGCTATTGGGTCCACCCGCTATTGGGTCCACCCGCTATTGGGTCCACCCGCTATTGGGTCCAGTGCTCTTGGGTCCACCCAAAATGATCTTTGATCCCACAATACCTGGCTACCCAATGCAATTTTCATGGCTAAATGTAACTTTTCATCTACTAATTATTTTCTATTTTTATGTGATTTTATAAAGTTTAGTTTCTTTCAAATTCATCTATAAACTTCGAAAATCATCTTAGATTCATCTATCTAACAAACATTGGTTAGTTTTTTTAATGGAATCTCATAGCATGCTTATGTGGCACCAATTACATGGCATTTGCTGTTTTGAAAAATTATACTTCTTCCTTTTTTGTTTTGTTTTGTTTTATTTATTTATTTATTCATGTTAATAATGTTTTAACTTTTCAGTCAAATTTTTTATTTATTTTTATTTTTAAATTTGTAATAAATTTATATGTTTTAATTTTGATTAATAACTAAACAAATCATCATTGTCATTATTAGGATAAAATTATATCATTTTCTTTTAAAGTTAGGGCAGATTAGTCTCGACTCATAAACAAAATTAAAGTTTCAACTTATATTTAGAAATTATATTGAAAAACTGAAATTTCAATTCAAAATTTAAAAATTTAATCAGTTTCTAAATTTAAATATCAATATTTAATAATAACATAAACTTTTAAATTTTAAATTGAGTTTTAATTAAACAAAATAACATAATCTAAAGTTAGTACTCTAATTTTTTTGGGAGTCGGAATTGATATGCATTTTTTTTTCTTTTTTCTATTTAGTTCAAAAAATTAATTTTATCTATTTACTTTAATTAATCATCCCATACCAAAATGTATCTATTCATCTTTTATTTCTTTTTAAGGATAATACAAGTAAACATAAATTATCCTTAAATTTTTAATTAAAAAAATAAAAAAAAAACAAATTATTTTGAGAAAAAGAGAGTACAAATAAAAATTAATTTTTTGAACTAAATAAAAAAAATGCATATCAACCTCAACTCCAAAAAAAAAAAAAAAAGAAGTTCTAATCTTAAATTACTTTGTTTTATTTAATTAAAACTTAATTTAAAATTTAAAAGTTTATTTTATTAAATGTTAATATTTAGATTTAGAAGTCGATTAAATTCTTAATTTTGAATTAAAATTTAAGTTTTAAAATTAGTTTCTAAATACAAGTTGAAACTCTAATTTTTTTTTTAAGAATTGAGATTAATTTGCACTAACATTAAAACGAAATGATATAATTTTATTCTAATAATAACAATGATGATTTTTTTTAGTTATTAATCAAAATTAAAAGATATAGATTTATTACAAAATAAAAATTAAAAATTAAAAAAATCACTAAAAAAGTGAAAACATTATTAAGACATACAAATAAAAAAAATGGATTTCATTAAAAAAGTACAATTTTTAAAAATGGCGTACGCCACATAACCATGCCATAGGATTCCACTAAAAGAACTAATGGGAGTTTGTTAAATAGATGAATCTAAAATGATTTTTATAGTTTATAAATAAATTTTAAAAAAAAGTAAAAAACTGAACTATTGAAACTAAAATAAAAATAAAATAAAAATTAGTAGATAAAAAGTTAAATTTAACCCAATTTTGATCCCACAGGGGAACCTGAAAGACCCGAAAGGCAACTCGGGGTCCACCCAATGTAATTTTGATCCCATTGAAAGGGTTTCATCCATTGTAAGTCCAAAAGTGGAACCCCAAACCCAAAGGCAGCTTGCGGTCCACCCAATGCGTACCTAATTAGAAAATCAAAGGTGGAATCTGCTGATCCGACAAGCGGAACGTGTTCTACCAAAAAAAAAGACAATATTAAATAATAAAAAATAATTTAAAAATAACTTTTATATAATTTTATATATTATTTAAATAATTAAAATTTTTATTTATTTAAAAATTATAATATTAAATATGTTTATTCATTTAATAATATATAAAAATTATACAAATTTTTTTTGCCTACATCACTGTACCTAAAATAATTAATAATGTTCAGACACTTGGCTAACCTTTAGACACCCCGCCTCCCACGTCAAACTAACTGAATTCAAAAGACGCGTTTTGCTAAACCCCTCAACTTTTTGTGCTGTGGCAGATTAGCCCCCCAACTACGTGCACAAACAAACCCTCAACCTCATCATCAATGGCAAGAAAGCCCTTCCATAACAAATGATATTATCGATCTGTTAACTTCCCACCAAAAGTTACTTTTTTTTTCGACCAACAAAATAGACTCTATTAAACAAATCCTTGTAAGGAATCACAGCTGAGTAGTGGTTTTAGGGCAACCACTATGCTCATCATCACAGCTCCTTCCAAAAATAGAGACACGTTAGAAACAACATCCTCATTAATCCCAACCACATTAACCAAACTACTTTCAGCAATACTCATGCCAGATTAGAGAACCCACTTATAAGGAGCTGAGCCTTTTCTATAGTCAAACATCAGACTAGTCAAGTTAAATGAGACAAACCAAAGGTGAAGCATCTAACTGAATCAAAGCCAAAGAGCCAATCGGATTCCCAACATGCATATGAATAACACTAACAAAGCCCACTAAGGTCTCCATTTCAGAGTTGAAATTTAGCAAATAAGCAGCATAATGAATTGGGAAAAGGGTTAACATAATTGATTTTGCGTCACCAATCCCACAAGATGTCTAATATGCTCATCTGTTATCCTATTGTCCGAGCTCTATTCTTGTATCCAAAAGAAATTCGTGAAGACTTTGTCAGATTCAATGATAGGGCTTTGCTCCATTGGTTGTTTCTTCTGGATTATCCTCGAGCGCTCCTATACCTTTACAGTCGCTCCATTCACCCTTCTAGCTAGTCAATTGGAGCTGAGTCGATCACTAGACCCAACTGGCCATCATGTAAGAGATTTGCTCCTCCAATTGTACACTTGAAACAAACCTAGGAGCTAGCTTAAAAGAATCCAAAAGATCCCAATTAGAGTTTCAACAACAAATTAAAGGAGTTAACTGATTTTTATTTTGGATTTTTAGGGATTTTAACTATTGAATTTTTAGAAATTTTGATTTGGGAAAACTAGGAATTTAATCTTAGTTAGGAGGGAAAAGAAATAAGGAGGGGGCAGAGATGCTTCCCTCTTATGTTTAGGTTACTGATTTTAATAATAAAGGAGGGAGACAGAATCCCTTCAAAGGAGATGGAGAGAAATTAACTTTATATATTTATTTATTTTTTAAATTTTTTAAAAATATATAAATATTTTATATCAATTATTTTTTAATTAATAAAATTTTTAAAATTATTTTATTTTATTTT